AAGAATCTTGCCAGGAAAATATGGTCCCGTTTTTTTTTAATGTTAGCTCTTGAGCCTCACACACCTGCGAAAGCAATGGATGGAGAATCAATGGGAGGAAGACTTTTCTTGGGAAGCGCACCCGGAAGCTGCCGCTGCAAAGTCGATCCCTACGGAACCATCCTCTCTGCACTTTGACGATCTCCGCCGCGCAAAGGGGGACGTTCCGGGCGCTTTGGCAAAAGGGGCCGGCAGCCTCTCAGCCCTTCCCACCCGTTAGAGCTCCCCCCACTTCCACTCCCCTCCTCCCGCCTCCTTGGAGCTTCAAGCAAGCTAACTGGGAAGGGCGGGGAAGAAGAAGGAGGGGCGGCGCGGTCCCCTGCAGCCGCCGAGCCGGGAAAGGGGCACTTTGGCAGGGCTTCCGCAGCGCCCCCAAGGACCGCTGCGTGAGGACTGTGGTGGCGGCGGCTGCTGCTGCTGCTCAGGGCCTTGGACGGGGAGGAGAAGGGGGAGGAAGAAGAGGAGGAAGCGGTGGCCGAGCGGAATCCTTTTGAGAGGGGACGGGCGCAACCTGGGAAGCGTCGGCACGGCCTCCGCCATTGCCAATCGCGCCCATCCCCTCTCAAAAGGATTCAGCTTTATTTTGGCGCTCGCCGGCCCTGAAGGAGCGGGATGAGTAGTGAGCAGAGCCTCATTTAAAAGCAACAACGGCCGTGGCCACTCGTTCGCTCCACCGCTCTTGCGTGGAAGTCTCAGGAGGCAGAGTGGTGGGAGGGGTTCGAAGGAACCAGCGCGGCAGCGGCGGCGCTGGGAAGGTGCTGCCCCTGGAGCCCAAGGGTGGGCGGGCTGGCGAGCGGGCGCCTTTCTCGCACACAGGGAAGGGGAGGAGGGTGGTGGCGGCTGTTTCACTAACCCCGCGCAGGTTACTAATTCCCACCAGTTACTCACCAGTGAAGCAGCAAAACAAAGCAAACGGCCGCAAAGGCGAAATGAAATGGAGACTCCTGNCTTGGACCAGTGGGGAGGAGACAAGGGAGTGTGATCCGGATGTCAGCAGTGAGTTGTTCCTGGATGCCCAGCACCGAAGAGCTAAAAGGCGTCAGGAACAGTTGCGCAGTTACAGGAGATAATTGCACTCAGCTGGTGGTAATTAGGCTCCTCTCAAGCTATAAGAGGAATGCTTGTGCACATGCCACGTTGCAGGAGTCAACACATTGACTAAAAGTTGGAGAACTTTTGTAACTAGCTTGGCAGGCTGGATTACTGCCAAGGCTTGTCTGTCTTTCAATAAATTCCTTAAAGTATCTTTGGCTCGGCATATTTTGGTGTGGGACGAGGGGAGTCAGAACACATATGGATATATAAATATCAATTTTAAAAAAAAAGGAATACACAAGCTGTCCATTTTGGCATGGTCCCAGGATGCCTATTTTATCATCTGCAGTTTATTTCCACCAAATTCTGGACTTGTTTGCCATCTTTTGTGAGGTTTCCTGAAAACCATTAGTTGTGTTTTTGCACATTTGACTGGTGGCTTATGTGCCATCATCTCAGTGTCAACTCCTAGCAACCTGATAGGGAGACCTTGCAAGACCTCGTGAGGTTTTGCACTTACTAAACATATATATGTGCTTTTGAATAGTATAGTATAGTACAGCCCAGTGATGGCTAACCTTTTCGGTGCCAAGTAACCAAAGTGCACATGTGTGCATGGAAATGAGTGCACACGCAACCCCAAAATGCAATGCCACCCGCCCCCACCTGCACCCCATGCTCCGTTTTGGCTTCCAGGTTGGTGCAGAAGGCTTTCCAAGTCCAAAATGGAGCACGGGGCACGCACATGTGCACGCAACCACAAAATGCAATGCAAGCACCCCCACACATGCGCTCCTCCCTCTGTTCATGTGCACAACCCCTGCATGTGCCCCAACCACCACGCATGTGCGGCAGAGACCCGAAGACCAGCTGGTTGGCAGGAGGCGCGTGTTACATGTAAGGTGAAGTTGGGCTGGGACGACAGCTGGTGTGCCCATAGATAGGAATCTGAGTGCCACCTGTGGCATGCGTGACATAGGTTTGCCATCACGGGTATAGCCTTTATTGTCATTAAAATTCAATACAATAGCAGAGTTGGACCTTGGAGGTCTTCTAGTCCAATCCCCTGCCTAGGTTTCAAACAAATGGCTACCAACATCTTCTTAAAGACTTCCAGTGTTGGGGCATTCACAACTTCTGTTCCACTGATTAATGATTCTGTCAGGAAATTTCTCCTCAGTTCTAGGTTGCTTCTCTCCTTGATTAGTTTCCATCCATTACTTCTTGTTCTGCCCTCAGGTGTTTTGGAAAATAGTTTGACTTCCTCTTCTTTGTGGAGACCTCTGAGATATTGGAAGACTGCTATCATGTCTCCCCTCGTCCTTCTTTTAATTAAACTAGACATATCCAGTTCCTGCAACCGTTCTTCATATGTTTTAGTCTCNTTTATTTATTTATTTATTTATTTATTTATTTATTTATTTATTTATTTATTTATTTATTTATTTATTTATTTATTTATTTATTTATTTATGTTATTAATTAATTAAATGTATATGTTGCCCATCTCACGATCCATTGTGAACTGGTCTGGCTTGCAGTGCAATAAAAACCATAAATATGACAGCATTAAAAGTAATAACAAAAATCAGATAAAAACTACAATGAGCACGAACTGCACAGAGATGCGGTCTGTTACTTCATTTGTCTTCAGATCCCCAAGACAACCAGTAGAGCCAATTGATCCCCACATTTTCTTTGTAAGCAAGATAGTTGTTAACTGAATTTTGCCCTTCCTTGCCGCAATTGTTAATTGAATCACTGTAGCTGTTAACTTAGTGGTATGGTTGTAAAATGATTCTGCCTTCCCCGTTGCCTTTGTTTGTTAGAATGTCATAAAGCAGGTCATATGACTCCAGGACATTGCAACCATGATAAACAGATGTGGGTTTCTAATTTTTTTACTAACGGTTTGGGCGCTCTCCCGCTGCCGCTACTACTGGCTTGCCCGATCCAGACCGAACCAGCAGCAACCCACCTCTGGTCATAAATACATGCAGAATGACTGAATTTTGATCAATTTTGATCATGGGGAACTGAAATGACTGTGAAAAACAGTCATAAGACACCTATTTCAGCGCTGTCATAACTTGAATAGTTCCTAAACAAATGGTTGTAATTTGAGGGCTAGTACAGGTAATCCTCGACTTATGATCACAATTGAGCCCAAAATTTCTGTTGTTAAATCAGACGTTGGTTAAGTGAGTTTTGCCCCACTTTATGACCTTTCTTGCCCTTGTTGTTATGTAAATCACTGCAGATGTTAAATTAGTAACCCGGTTGTTAAGTGAATTTGGCTTCCCCACTTCTGACTTTGTCAGAAGATCGCAAAAGTGGATCACATAACTTGGAAAACAGCAATGGTCACAACTATGAACCATTTGCCAAACATCTGAACTTCGATCACATGACCATGGGGATGGAGCAAAGGTCGTAACTGTGAAAAAACAATCACATATTTCAGTGCCGTTGTAACTTTGAACGATCACTAACCAAACTGTTATAAGTCAAGGACTACTTCCGTTAAAGAATAGAGTTTTAAGTTTGTTTGTTTTTTGTTTGTTTATTTTAGAAAATTTATATTGCCTCCTATTTGTACATGGTGACTCAAGGCGGTCAAATTCATTGCAAGCCTATTTTTCCCCCCCGCAGGCCTTGCAGCAACCCAGCTTTGGCGACGCCTCAATTTCCCGCCGACAATCTTGCGTGTCATTCGAGTGGTCCGTATCAGTCGCCTCCTGAGGCTGATCCGAGGTGCGAGAGGACTGCGCACCCTGCTTTTTGCTCTGCTGATGTCCCTCCCCGCCCTCACCAACATCGGGCTCCTCCTCTTCCTGATCATGTTCATCTACGCTATATTTGGCATGGCTAATTTCTCCTGCGCCAGTTGGGTCCAAGGGATTGACGATATTTTCAACTTCCAGACGTTCGGCAACAGCATGCTCTGCCTCTTCCAGATGACAACCTCCGCCGGCTGGGATGAGCTTCTGGGGCCAATGCTCCTCCACCAGGACAACTATAAGTGTGCTCCGAACATCAAATCCACCCCACAGAAGAGCCCCTGTGTCAACAACAAGGTGGCCATTGCCTATTTTGTCAGCTACATCATTATTTCATTTCTGATTGTAGTCAACATGTACATTGCTGTCATCATCGAGAATTTGAACGTTGCCACCGAAGAGAGCACAGAGCCACTAGGGGACGATGACTTTGAAATCTTTTATGAGATCTGGGCAAAATTCGACCCCAAAGCGACCCAGTTTATCTCTTACTCAGCACTCTCCAACTTTGCAGATGCCCTGGAAGAACCTTTACGAATACCGAAACCAAATAGCCATCAGTTGTTGTCCATGGACCTTCCGATAGTCAATGGGAGTAAAATCCACTGTTTGGATATTTTGTTTGCTTTTACCAAAAGGGTGCTGGGAGAATCTGGAGAAATGGACTCGTTTGAGTCCCAAATAGAAGAAAAATATCCGGAGAAGATTGCCTATGAGCCAATTGTGACAACTCCCAAGAGAAAGCAGGATGAGTCTGCTGTCATAATTCAAAGAGCTTTTCGGATGCATCTCCTCCAGCACGCAGGAAAGGAAGCGCCTCAGGAACCCTATGTAACTATCTCCTTGGAGAATATTCCAGAAGAGGAAAACTTATCGGTGTTCAGTCTGAGTGAAAATGAAGGCAGCCAGTCCAGTAATTCTCAGAACTCGTCTTCGGTGGCCATTCCTCCATCCTACAGTAATGCGACTAGCATCACTCCTGACATTCAGCAGGAGGGGTCCTCTGGCCATAAGGGTGATACAAAGTGATATTATTCTCACTGGTTTTTCTCTTGTCACAGCAGGGTTTTCCTGGAAACAGATGATAATAATAATAATAATACTGTCATAAATAGTTAACTCAGGAGCTCTTCCATTAGTGTTAGTGTAAACTCTTACAGATCCTCAGTGGGAATTAAAGATTGCCTTGCAGCAGACTTTCCCAACCATCTACATTCCGGATGTTTTGTTCTTTGTGATAGACTGAAAATTCCGGAAACAATATGTCATTTCTGCCCTAATGATTTGTAATATCTTCTAGAGCAGTGTTTCTCAACCTTGGCAACTTGGAGATGTCTGGACTTCAAGTCCCAGAATTCCCCAGCCAGCGAATGCTGGCTGGGGAATTCTGGGA